ACAATTTAGTTTGAAAGTTCGTCATATCAATAGTCCACAATCCTCCCACAGGCAACGCAATCTTAATTGTAGTTATTATGAAGATTGTTGCTGTGTACCATCGAGTCTGAGTCAACCTATAGTTGATCTTCCAGTAGGTTTTCAGAAGCAGTTAATTACTTGGGAGGAAATGGCCCATCTTTCTCCCACAGAGAAGCTGATGGATTTGAACCATATGCCTTTGAGGTTGTGGCACAGATTCTTACCACTAAGCCACCAGAGCTCCATTATGAAGATATTAAGTGTTTATACATACTACACTATAAGGAACTTCAGAAGCACATTGAGTGAAAGAAGCCAGTCTCACAAAGATTCTTACTACTGGACCAATAGGCAGTGTCATGATGGATGGAGAGAAGATGGGATCTACAATTAATACCCTTGGTACGAGCAATCAGGAAATAAAGAGATGCATTGCACTGGGAAAATTTGCAGTTAGGGACCTGTCCTAATTTTTGAAGAGTAGTGATGTCAGTTTGAGTACTAAGGTGCATATGATCCAGGCCATAGTCTTTATGATTACTTTGAGACCTGGACAATGAATAAGGATGACAGAAAAATAATTGATGCCTTTTGAGCTATGGTATTGAAGAAGAGCAATGAACATTCCATGGATGGCCAAGAGAATGAATAGTTATGTCTTGGAGAGGGTGCAGTCAGAGTGTTCTTTGGAGGCAAGAATGATGAGGCTTCTCCTCACTTACTTTGGACATAATGCTAGAAGGCGTTATTCCTTGGAGAGGGACATGATGTTGGGAAAGATGGAGGGTTGGCGAAGGAGAGGAAGACCCTCAACCAGGTGGACTGACACAGTGACTGCTGCAATGGGCTCTTGTGTGTCAGGAAGTGTGAGGATGGTGCAGGACAGAACGAGGTTCAGATCTTTTGTTCATAGAGTCGCTATGAGTGATACTCGACTCAATGGAAGCTAACAACAGCTACAACATACTATTTTATTTTATTTTTATTAAATGTGGGTGATAAAAATGTTTAAAATTAGATAGTAGTGGTAATAGTACAACTCTGAGAGTATTATAAAACCCACCCAATTGTATACTGAAAAAAAAGAAAAAAAAAAACAAACTCAAAATGTTGGAAGGGCACCATCAGTAAAACCTGTAAGATCCACTCACTATGTCAAGGATAGCCCCATCCTGACGTGCACCATCTTCACCTCCTCAAACTTTTCAACTTTTTTTTTACACTATGTTTTAATTGAGTTTATAAAAAACTTGGGTTTCCAATCATTCATGGTTGCACATTTTCCTTCCTGCCCTTCCTGCCCCTCCTCTACCCAGATCTCCTTTCTTGGGGAAAGAAAAGCTCTTTTGTTGTTTTACAGACCTCCACCCCCACCCCAGACCACTTTACTATGAAGCTCTTGTTCTGGGCTCTTGTTCTGGACTCTTGTCATGCCTATAATGCTTAATTATATATATATATATATTCCTTTTATACAATTCTCTCCCATGTCTGTTTCAATGCCATGTAGATTATTTACCCTCTTTTATTAGTTTTCCCCCAGATCCCATATCAGTCCTGTTTTATAACAGTGACATTATGCCATATTTGTCTTTTTGTGACTGAGATATTTCACTCAGCATAATGTCCTCCAGGGTCACCCATTTTGTATAATAATTCATCGGTTCCTTGTTTTTCAATGCAGCATAGTATTCCATTGTGTGAATGTACCACAGCTTCTCTATCCATTTGTTTGCTGATGAGCTCTTGGGTTGTTTCCAACTCTTTGCTATTGTGAACAAAGCCGCAATAAACATGGATGTGCATATATCTGCTTGGGTGCCGGTTATGGTTTTTATAGGGTATATTCAACTAGTGGAATTGCTGGGTCAAATGGTATTTGTATTTCCAACTTTTTGAGAAATCACCATATACCCTTTCATAGTGGTTGCACCATTTTGCACTCCCATCAACAATGAATAAAGAAGGGTTCTAGTTTCTGCACAACCTTGCCAGCATTTGTTGTTTGATGTTCTGTTAAATTTTGCTATTCTTACTGGGGTGAGATGGCATCTCATAGTTGTTTTGATTTGCATCTCTCTTAAGCTAGGGATTTTGAACATTTCTTCATGTGTTTTTTCTCCATCTGAATGTCTTGCTTGGTGACATGTCTGTTCATATCTTGTGCCCATTTTTCAGTTTGGTTGTTTACCTTTATCTTGTTGTGGTCCTCAAGTATTTTATAAATTCTAGATATAAATCCAAATATTTGTCAATACCAAGTATTTTCTCACCAATTTGTGGCTTCCCTTTTTACTCTGTTGGAGAAGTTTTTGGATGTTCATCGGTATTTGGTTTTTAGATGGTTCTATTCATCTATTTTATCCTTTCCTGGTTGTAGATTAAACTTTTCAACTTTTGCTGGTTTCAGTAGTGATAGATAGTGGGTACCAACCAGCTCAGTCCACCAGAGTATGGGTTCTGAGCCAGGGCATAACTTTGAAGGGATGTTCCAAATCACCCAGGGTCAGAAGGCAGTACCCAGCATCATGACAAAGACAGGGCCAGAGTCAGCTGTGCCTACTGCTGCGATCCCTGGAATCTCCCAACGTTATTTTGACCACTATAGGGAATCCTGGGAGCTGAACCCTGGCTTTCTGAGGCTTGGACACCAGCCTGGCCTGTCAGGATGGTCCACATAGTCTAGAATCTCTTCTCCATCTTGTTCTTATTCCATTCTGAACGCTTGAACCCCTCTTAGTCATCCTCATCTTCTGCAAACTCATTTGGCAACTGCTTTTTACTTTCATTAGCCTTATGTGAGCTGAAGAAGAGAGCTGGGACCAGAAGAGAACAAGCTTACCTCGCCTCCTTCCATGTTGGGTATAATTTCCAGAGTGGAAATTATAGACTCTTGCTCTGATCCCATAGTAGATGGAATACCTAGGCACTCCAGGCCTCTGGGACCGCCCGTCACTCTGAGCAAGCACTCTCACCAGGCCTGCTGGAGGACAGGGCCAGCCGGATTATTCTGGACATGGCATCACTAATCTTGGAGAAACACAGCCATTCTGTTTCGTGCTAACACTCTCTGCCCTATCACTGTTGTGAATGATTTTCTGTAACATTCAGGGGAAGAGTTGCAAAAGAAAATTCCAGTATGGGGTCTCTCTATAGGTGCCAGTTAAAGGGTCTTGTACTGTTAAGATGATGTTCATATAAACAGGCCTTGGAGAGATGTCTACAGGGATGACTGTAATAATGGAATAGATCAAAGTTGTCCCTCACACCCACTGGGTCCCTAACTTGTGGAGACTAACTTTGAGAAGAATGGGAATTCCTGAGCGTTAATTGTGCTTGTGCGGAACTTACACCTAGACCAAAAGGCTATTGTGTGAAAGAGCAGGGACACACAGCATGGCTTAAAATTAGGAAAGGTGTGTGGTTGTAGGTTTCAAGGTTGTAGACTTTCTTCATTCCTATTTATTATGCGTGTTGTTGTTGTTGTGTACCACTGAGTCCAAAATGACCCACGGCTGACACTCTGGTGAGTTTTTAGAGGCAATAAATTGCATGGGAGGAAATTCCTCACCTTCCTGTTGCTGAGCAAATTATTCAAGAAGCTGGACCCTATGAGCAAGAATGAAGCATCAAAATTGGAGGAAGGCTCACTAATTTTCATTGTCATTGGGGTTGGAGAAACGACGATAGTTATGGAAAGGTAGGTCTTTTGTCAAGTCGTACTTGACTCGACAGCAATCAACAATAACAACATTGGGGTACAAACAACCTAAAAGTTGTAGAAACTATTTTTTCCAGCAAAGGACTAGCTTTTTATTAATTTTTTCCATTTTTGCACGTTTCGCTTCTCCCCAACTCCATCACTCCCCACAATGCATCCCTTGTTCCAGATTGTTGTTGTACATATAATGCCTAATCATATAATCCTTTCAGATAAGTCATCCTCTCATCTGATCTAATGCAGTGTTCATTATCTATCACTCTTTTCTCATTCTCTCCCCAACCCTCCCATGTCTGTCCTATTTTATAACACAGTTATGCAGTGTTTGCCCTTTTATGATTGAGATCTTTAACTCAGCAAATAACCTTCTAGGTTCCCATATGTTGAGTAATGTTTTACTATTTTATTATTTTTCAATGCTGCATAATATTTCATTGTGTGAATGTATCATAGTTTTTTTACCATTCATTTGTTGATGGGCACTTGGGTTGTTTCCATCTCTTTGTTACTGCAAATAACTCAGCAATAAATATGGGTGTGCAATCATCTGTTTGTATCATGGCTTGTGTAAACCATTAAAAGAGGTGCTTGGACTGTTTTACCATTCCACCAGATTTAAATTGAGCAGGTTCAAGTTTAGAAAACAGGAATCTCACTGTCATCAAGAAAGAAGACATGGAGAGTACAGCATGTCTTTGGGACAGAGATTCCTAAACAAGACAGAGATGCAGACCAGACCAATAGCAGCATGAGTAAGATCAGAGGAAACCAAGGATCAGAGACTAACATGATACTGAGCTGAACTACAACTGCCTCCATCTCTCTGCAGAGCCCAGCTCCTTTCTCTTGTTGCTACTGACACCATCCCTGCCCTTTAAGATCAGAGTTCAGCTCATCAGGAGCCAACAGTCTAGCACAGAGGGAGGTGGACAGACTATGGGGTGACACAATCCTGAATCCCAATGCTGGGTTTGCCATATAACTCTAGAACCTCATCCCTCCTCTCTAAAATGAGAATTGTAATACTGACCTACTAGGAACTTGATAAATTGACCAAGAGAGTGTTGTTTCATGTTTAGCTGAGTTCTGAGTATTTTAAAGATAAATTATTCCATCTCATTCCTCCATCTGGGTCTTTGGAACAAAAAAGAACCAAAAATATGCAAGGATGAGACTTTATTCAGGAAGAACATGGAAGGAGAGATGGTCCCTGAGCTTCCCACCAGTATGAGCTCTTGAGGACAAAGATCATTGAACATTAGAAGCGAAGGTCTATGGCCATCTTCACATCCTCAGTGTCACCTGTACGGGACACCGGGGCAGCTTCCTCAGAGTCATCTTCTGGGGGCAAGGAAGCCACTTCAGAGTCATCGGTGAGAGGCATGGGGGAAAATTCCCCATTTGTCACCGTGGGTAGTGCCTGGTAGGTCAAGGACCAGTACTGCATATAGTTGGTCCTCAGATGCTGCTTCATTGAGTTGCTATCAATCTTACTGTTGATCTCCAGGTAATTGTCATTTTCCAGGGTGTAGGGATCCCAGTGTGTAGGGACAACTGAGTGGCCCATGTTTGGATCTCTGTGGAGTGAAAAAAGATAGAATAAGGGGTTTACAGCAGAGTACATGCTGGTACCTTTTATCTGCCATAGGGCCCGTCTGGATCCATAAAGGCCATGTGACTCTCTTAAGTTGATAAGTGATGGTGCAGGGACACTAGGTGTCTGTAGCTAGATCCATTTGAGGTGGTACAAGAGGGTCCCATGTCTCCTGTCTGTCTCCTAGGCTCCACCTCAAATCTTACCCAGTTCTGGCAAAGTTGGTCCAGTAGGCAATCATGGCCTTGGAGAGAATCCTGTCTTGAGGTCCATACTTCAGAGGAGTGGCAAAAGGCTGCCCAAACACATACTGTAGGTCATCTGTATGCTCGGCCCCCGTCGAGTCAGGATAGACAGGCATCCGAGAGGGGTAAGAAAACAGGTAGGTATAGGTCTTGGCGCTCCTGTATATGAATAGGAGAGGCCGCTCATTTTGGTGGATGCTCATCTGAGCTGTCCAACACAGAGACAGGATCAAAGGGAGTCTGTGGGTGAGGTAGGGGGTGGTGGGGAGGGTGGGTGCATGGGAGATTTTAGAGAGGTTCCACAAAGAAACTAGGACTGTTCCTCTGGAGATAGGAACTTGTAAGCCAGACCTATGGATTTGACTTTCTTAATTATTCCTCACCTTGACACAATGATTTGAGGTATTTCCTCTTATAACTGAGTATCACCAAGAAATATTTGTCCTCTCCAGATGGATCTATAGTCTTAATTTTATTAGAAATGATATTTGCCTTCAGTTATTTCCCCCTTTGCCTTGACTACAGGAAGCTCACAGTTACATTTACTTCTTAGATACTTCAAAATATTTAACCTATGTGCCCAGATTTCATATGTTCTCCCACTAATGTTAAGCCCTCAGATGCTAACAGAAAAGCTGGTGGTCTGAGTCTTCCCAGAGATGCATTGAAAGAAAATCTTGGTGACAGACTTTGGAAAATGAGCCACTGAAAGCCTGATGAAGCACAGTTCAACCCTGACACATGAGTTTACCAAGCATCAGAGTTGAACCGATGGCAACTGGCTATTCTATTTTTTCATGTGGTTACAGAAGCCCTTCTGACTCAATGTTGAGTGCTAGAAAGATATGTGAAGGGTCAGCTATTTGAATTCACCAGCTCCTTTAAAGGAAAAATTTGAACCCACATGAATTGTTTCTGTTTCTGGAAAGATTACAACTGAGATATTTCCGAAGCTATTCTATTCTGCCACATAGGGCTGCTATGCATCTGAATTCAAACATGAGCTTCCAAACTAGAGACTTAGGACCCAATCAAGCTTTAATTACATGCATTTAAAGACTCTAGTTTGGAGGCTCATATGTGAAGCATTTGGATTCTGGGGGGTAGGTTCTCTTGATTTAATTGAAAGTCTGGTGTAAACTGTTGGATCATTTTTGTTTGTTTTGTAAACAATCATGTGTAAGCTGATTGGCTGCCTGGATTTAGTCAATAATCAGCTGTGAGTTGGAAGCCTCTTGTTTAAGTCAATGAGGACCTGGTGGTGGGACTTTGTATTTAAAAGTTGATTAGGCCTGCTGTTGATGGAGTTTGGGAAGAACATTGTTCTAAGTGGTGTAGCACTTGTCTGTCAGTTTGCTATACTGAAAAAACTTGGAGTTACTGTGATACTGAATGCTGTGCCACTGGAGTGTCAAATGCCATAATGGTTATCCATAGTGGACAGGATTTGGTGAGCTCCCAAATCTTGCTTGGAAGAAAGATTTGCATTCACTTCCTAAACAGTAGGTCTTTGGAAATTCTATGAACTTAGAAAAATGATGGTGGGTATACCACCGGTTCAGATCTTTTATTCATAGGATCACTATGAGTCATACTCTACTCAAAAGCATTTAACAAACAACATGTGCCAGAATTTGCTGGTGAGCACAAAAGTTGTTTTGAAAGTAATTCTCAAGGGTTTTAAATATTTCAACATTGCTTTCATTGTTGAAGTCCCTCAGCATTACTGAACAAAATCATTGTCCAATGTGCTCTTCATCTACACAGCACAAAGAGTAGAGAGACTTAAGAACTCTCAGTGGGAAGGGCTGAATAAGTCAGAGGACCAGTGAACATGTGAAAGACCATGAAAGGGTTTGTAGACTGAAAAGAATGAAGCTCTCCAGAGCCTTGGAGCCTTGTCATGTCTAAACAAAGAAAATGGGGCAGAAGAATCAGGACCTGAGTGGGCATTTCCATGCATCCTTACACCTGGGAGCTGGCCACTGGGGAAGCTTTGGCAGTAGTTATAGTATCCTTGGTATCCTGAGTGAGTCTCTCATAGGAGTCACTCTCACCTCCGCTTCCATGTCCTTACTTGGCATTGAGTCTGTGCTGGGCCACAGCCATTTTGTTAGGTATCAGGAAGAAGATGTCAGTCTCAAAATCCACCACAGTCTTCTTTTTGTTCTCCTGGGATGAGTGGTTAGTCCAGGACTCAGTGTAGATGTCAAAGGTGGTGTTGGCACCTAGGAGGCCCTTGGTGACAGTGAACTTCCTGACTAGCTTGTAGAAGTCCTCCCTGCAGGGAGCAAACAGACACTGGACTCTCTACCCAGTACCAACAAAGGGTTCCAGCACATCCACTCAGAAGAGAGCTATGGACATTCTCACCCCCAGCATCCTGTTAACTCTCTCTCTCTCTCATTTATTTGTTAGTTCTTTCCCACTATAGGACCACCTCACTCAGGCTGACACTTCCCAGAAGCCTTCAGCATCATCCATGCTTCTATTACATCTACTTACTCTGTCACAGTCGTGTTAGTCTGGTGAATGTCTGGTATATCAATGACAGAAATGAAGCTTCCATCCATATCATTAGTGCCTGCTAGGTAGTCAATGTCAGCAGTATTGGCATACAGATTCATGGGGTCATCAGGAATGAAATCTCCATCCACGACTGGGACAAAGCCCAGATCATTTGATATGGGGTCTGGGTGATAAAACAAATACATTCTCATACCTTCCAATATCCCCCTGACCATTCCCTCTGTCCCTGATAGTGGAATTGACTCCATCTCTAGGACATGCAGTGGGGATCTCCTTCCTTCTTTTACCTAGAGTAGAGTTATCACAGCTTAAGTCCTTTTAAAATTTTGGGCCAGACAATTCTATGTTGGAAGGGTCTATCCTATATATTGCTAGATGTTCAGTAGCACACAGTTTTGACAATAAAAGTATCTTTTCCAGAAATAAAAATGCCTGTGGCAGAGTATCACTAGTTTAGAGATCACATCTGCTCTCTTATTCTAGTCTGAGCCCCTTTCCTTCTCTTCTCATTGGGAATAAATGTGATAGGAAATCTAGAAACACCTTCAGGGGCTGATGAAGTCTATTAGCCAAAATTCCAAGAGGCCCACAATGCTTTCCAGCACCCCTAAAAGAATTGTTATATAGTACAAGTGAAGTCACAAACTTCCTTGGGATTAGCCAGTACAATTACAGAAATGGGGGAACTTGCTTTTCCTTTGGCCAAATTACAAATGAAAGTTGGCTTTGTATTTTGCCACAGGTAAGTTTCATTCACAGAAATTATGTAGCGGGTTTTATGTACATCGACTGAGCAGAATGTGCTGGAGAGATCTTTAGTCCACCAGGCAAGGGTTCCATCCTAATAGGTCTCCCAAGCCTTCCCAGGTGAAAAACATTAAGGATGAATGGCCAAGGGCCATAGCAGATGATAATTTAACACCTGTTGAATGATCATCTGGTACAAATGTCTTGTTATGAGATACATGTATTCCCATGCAGGCTTTAAGGAGTCCATGAATTTTCCTAAACCCGTAGATGAATTGCTAGAGGTGTGAGTAACATATTCTTGAGCTTCTCAAAGAGGTCTGTGACTTATGAAAGATAAGAAAGAAGACTTGTGCTCTCCAGGTTTTACAACTTCAGCCACTGAGCTGGAAAAGGAACAAGTTGATTCAAACAACGGAAATTCTGCAAGTAGGCAAAAAGTCCAAGTCTTCAATAAGACACTTTGCTCTCTTGTTCCAAATCCTACACTGAAGACCCCTCCCAGACCTTGGGTTCCCATGTCCCCACACCAGTCTTCCCACTTCACCCTCCAGAGGATTTTTGTAGGACAGAATCAGGGCCTGGGGGTCGGTGGTTTTCAGACACTTGGCCATCATAGAGATGTCATCCACGGGGCAGCCCACCTTCTTGGCCATCTGTAGAGGGGGGTGCAGGAAGTAGTAAGTGGATAAGTGAAACCACTACTCAGGACAAAGAATGACTGGGGACAATCAGGTTGGGGGAGACATAAATGCCCTTCTTAGGCATCTGAAGTGACCCTCACCTAAGCCCACCCTTGCCTGCCACTTACCCACTTGGCCCAGTAAAGTGGGTTCTTTTGAATGGCCCAATGGCTCACTCCTACGCCACTCTGGCTGATGGCTCGTCTGATTAAACCCTTGTTGTAGGGAGAGAGAGTCTGCAAGACACAGAGGTCCTGTCACCAAGGACTCACCCACCCTGCTCCAACCCAGGGGCGGCCCAAGACTCCCAGTGTGTCAGCTCTAGCCTCCTTTTTTCCTCCTGTCTATCCCATATACATTAACCTCTTCTCAAACCTTTTGGGGTAAACCTTCCACCCTAAAGATTCAGACCTGAAGAGAGACACTGGCGCCTCCAGCTGATTCCCCAAAGATGGTGATGTTTTTAGGGTCTCCTCCAAAGGTTGCTATGTTTCTTTTCACCCATTTGATGGCCATGTGCTGGTCCCGAAGGCCATAGTTACCTGGAATTGGGCAGGGTATGGGGTAGTCACTGGGGATACTTGACAAGGAAATGGGGGGCTAATGAGAGATTCAGGGCCTGGTCTATGGCAGGTGTACAGTGAGTGTGAATTTGGTTCAAGGGCACAAAACTGAAAAATAGTAAGGCAAGATGTCTGGACTTTGGTGGGAATGCAGAGAAATTTAGGAGTTAGGGCAGAGGAAGAGGCAGAAGAGCCTGGTCTCCACTCATTTCTCCCTTCTCTGTCATGGTCCCTCTGCCCTGATGCTGTCTGTGTTTCTGTGTTTTAATTTCATTGTGTTGCTCTCTGTCTTTCTATGTGTCACTGGGCTTTGTGGTCCCTCCCTTTCTGGGTCTCTATCCACTGTCTGACAGTCTCTTTTACTTCCCTACAGCTGAGTATCATGATTCAGAACCAATATTCAGCATGGTGAAAAAGATTCTGGATCTTTCCCCAGAGCTGTCAGGAGATGATTTGGAAGAGGGTCTGGATTTAGAGTTTGTGGAATGGGGCACACTCATCCCCACAACCAAGGGCCCTCAGTGCTGGGCAAACCTGGCATATTGAGATCTCCAGTGCTGAGGAAGCCAAGGGGGCCCATACGATAGTTGAAGGTGACCACGATGACATTGCCACGTGTGGCAATCTGCTCCCCATCATACAGAGGGTTGTTGTTAAAATCGTGTTCTTCTTGTGCAGATCCCATATAGAAGGCACCACCGTAGATCCAGACCATGACAGGCAGGTCTCTGGAGACTGGAACAGGGACAAGAAGACCCAGTAACTCTCAGATATCTGGTCAGTCTCTCATCCTGGCTTAACTGCTTCCATGAAGAGGACTTGTTTATATGACCTCTGAGGTCCCTGCTCCAGGTTGGGGGAATATAGTGAGACACCCCTCCTCTCTCTCTCTCTCTCTCTCTCTCTATCTCTCACACACAGACACACACAAAGAGAGTGTTTTTTTTTTTAAGTTCATCTTTGAGTTTAGGAACAAACACAAACAGTGGAGTTGCACCTGGAACTTAGATATCTTGGTGCCTTCTACAGAGAGAGATAAGGGAATTGAAGAGATGTCAGAGGTAGGCTCACCTTCCTTCTTGCCCTGGGGGACCCAGATGTTGAGGTACAGGCAGTCCTCTGACCCTACAGTGTTGCCCTGGATCATGTTGATCTGCAGGCACTCACTCTTGTATTCTTCAACCTTCAGTATCCCTGCAGGCAGAGGCATGTATGGATATGGCAGGTGTTACATGAACATAATATGTGGAGGCACCAATGAGCAGTTCCTATCCAGTGCCATGTGTGAAAGATTGGTCAACAATTTAAAACTAATTGCCGAGACTCTATGCAGGTGACACAAAGGCTACGACATGAACATGGCTAAGATACCCTAGACACCAGACACCACCAAGCACCCACCAACTCGCACCTTGCCAGCCAGGATGTTGCTGGGGATTCTCCAGAGTCTTGGGGACGGCAGCAAAAGGGATGCCCTTGAAGATGTCCACAGAGTCGCCAAAGAGGCCAAGTTTCTTGTTGATGCCTTCTACAAAGCCATCTTCAGTGTACACCACACCCAACTGTGAGGGAGACATGGGTAGGTCAGGCAGGCTCAGGTTCTTGTCAAATGCCCGAGCGTCTGAAGTCTCAGAATGCCATGAGTTGTTGTCATGTGCCATTAAGTCATCTGGACTCATAATGACCGTATGTGCAGCAGCGCTGAAGCCTGCCCTGTCCTAAATTAGACTAAGTGATTCGACACACCAACCCCTATTGCCCCAGTTACCGTATCAATCCATCTAATCTAGGATCTTCCTCTCTTGCATTGTCCCTCCCCACTACTGAGCATCATGTCCTTCTCTAAGGATTAGTACCTCCTGACCATGTGCTCAAAAGCATGTGAGACAGAGCTTCAAAATCCTAGCCTCCAAGGAGAAACTTGATTTCATCCTCTGCAAATCCACACCTGAGATCAAGGTGGTGCTACCACCACTTCAATTTGCTTAAGGAACCTGTGTATTGCCTCTTCCCCTGGCACCTGCTTTCTGATCTCAGAAAAAAGCTGTTTGACCAACGTTCCCACTTAGGAAAATTCTTGTGTGTGTGGGATCAAACAGACTGTATGAGGGATGTTTGAGTCCTGTCTGTGTCCTTGAGCCTCAGTTTTCTCCTCTGTATGATGATAGCGGCAGTGTCCTCCTTGTGGTCTGTGTAGTTAGACTGCCCAATGAACAAGTTAATTGCAGGGAGTGTAGTAGACACTTTCTCATCTTCCCTCACATCACAGATTCTGCTTCTGGATCTAGCTGGCATCTGCTTCTCTCCATTTCCCATAGCACTTTCCTCTAGAACCAAGGCTTCTTTCCAAATTTGCAGTCTTAGGCAGGAGTTCCTAGAGAAGAAGGTAAACTTGGGAATACTTGTGCTTATCTAGTAATCTTTAATGTAGTGAGAAACACATGAAACTGTTTACTATAGATTAGTAAATAAGCACAAGGAAGCCAGCTCCCCCCCCCCCTTATTGTATGTTCCATCCCGACAGTGTAAAATATCATCCCAGACTGGTGGAACGAGCTGTTTGGTATTTGAGCTGTCTTTCCTAGAGAGCTTTAGTAGCCTGGTGGATTAAGAGTTATGCTGCCAAACCAAAGGCGTGTCCAGAAGCACCAAGGCCAGGCTACCATGAGGGAGGAGTGTATAGGGTTCCTGGTTCCAGACCTCCAGGCATTTTTTCCTGACCCAACTGTTTCCTGAGGGTCAAGTGAGCATGTGGGACAAGAAAATAGATTCACAGAAGTCTCTTTGTATCGTCAAGATGTGCCTAGGGACACCAGGACACAGAGATGGGCAGGGAGGTGGAGAAGGTGAGTCAGAGGTGCTGTGGTAGAGAAGAGAAAAACTGGTTAATTTCTGCATTCCCTAAAACTATCTCATCAAGAAAAAGCACAAGCCTGCACTTAACAGACATGACCCAGGGCCAGTGCCTTAACTGTTAAGTTTGAAAGAGAGCATAGGGGCAGGTCTAGGGGTACAGGAGTGTTGAGGGTAAGGCTGGCTGTGTGGAAGATTGCCCCAGGCCGGAACAAAGAGGTGAGGTGTGCAGAGATGGCATCTTACTCTCATAGAGAAAGAAAGAAACCCTTTCAAAGATCCCTGCCATTCCTGGAGAGACCTCCCATATAGAGCTCAGATGATGTAGTCTGTAACAAGTTTCTAGCTGAGTTGCTATTCCAAAGGTTAAGCCTCTCTGTGAGTTTGAACCCACTATTGCCTCTTCTAGTGAGTGGGGTGAGGAGAGAAAATGGGCCATCTCCTTATGTTTCAGTTTACAGCTATGGGAACTCAATGGAGGAAGGGTCATCTATGGATTAGAATTAACACAAGCTCCAGTTAACAAGTGAGTAAATTAATGAGATCCCTCATGCAAACCAGGCAAATGATGGGCTGGGGGCACACAGACTGGGAGTACACAGTCTGCTTAAGTACCGTCCTCAAGATTCCTCAGACTCTTTCTCACACTTACCCTGGAGGGCAAACAACAACCCTGGGGACAATTATTCTAACTCAACTCTCTGCTATTGATTCAGAACCAACTCATAACCGAGCCTCCAGCAGCTTTTCAGAGATAGTAAATCACAAAGTATCAAAACCCCCAACAATGGCATTAGAAAATTCTACAGTCAAGGGTTAGGGTGAAAACCAAGGGTGTCAGTTAAAGGACTAAGGGGATCCTGATACAAGCTGCAGTCTTTTCAATAACTTGCTATGAAGAGTTAGACAGTGAATAAAGATCAGAGAAGAAGAGTTGATGTTTGAGCTATGGTGCTGGGAAAGGACATTAAATACCCCATGAATTGCCAAGAGAATGAACAGTTGTATCTTGGTGAAAAATTTGACACGGTTGTGTCAAATGCGTTAATGGTTGGCTACCCAATGCAGATTGAGAGTGGGGTGGAGCTCCCCGATTGAACAAGCGTGGAAGGAGGAGTAGCGTCCACTTCCATAATACCTTGCCTCCGGAAACCCTATGAACTTGGAGAGAGGATGAAAGACAACCAAGCGTCAAGGACTCTCCTTCATAGGGTCGCTATGAGTCGCCTGCGACTCGACGGCACTTAAGAACAACAACAACAACATTCCTCGGAGGGAAAGATGGTGAAACTTCATCTCACATAATTTGAGCATGTTGCTAGAGGGGCCAATACTTGTAGAGAAACATCATGTCTGGAAAAGTGAGAGGGTCAGCGAAGGAAGGGAAGATGCTCAGTGGAAAGACAAGGCGATTGTAGTAATGGGTTTTAGTGTGAGAGAGATGAGGAAGATGGCACAGGATAAGACAGGGTTCAGCTCTGATATTCATAGATACAGTCACTATAAGAAATACTCAACTTGAAGGCACCTGATAACAATAAATCACAAGGGCTGAGGTTGTCCAACCTTTCCCAGAGGAAAAACTGGCAGAGTCAAACAATCTATCTTATGTATCCACTATAAATATATATTTTTTAAAAGCACAAACTTGGGGGGATTAATCATGGGGTTGTACAATATGATGGGTGGGAGGGTGAAGGAAATTGGAAGAATCTTTTCTGGAATACAATATATTAGAATTTTGTAAAAAAAACCACTGTCATAATTTTTTAAAAAAAGAACAAACAAAAAACACACAAACTTGAAGTCCCTGCCCAGGGCCAGTGAGAATCCCAGGCAGGCAATTCTCTGCCTGGGATCTGTGAGGAGGCCAGGCATGTTCTTTCCCAGATCTTGTGAGGAGCCAAGGCAATCCCCCCACCCCAAAATACACACACACCAAGACCCTAGAAGCTCAGGCAGTCCCACCTCAGGACCAGTAGGAAGACCCCAGGCAAGTATGTGCCTGAGATAAACAAGAAGTCAAAGAAAGTCCTCACTTGGAACCAGCAAAGACCCCAGGAAAGTCTTGCCCAGGACCCAGAAGAACACCTCCACCATTACCGACCAACCACAGGGCACAGGCCGGGATCCTCTCTACCTACTGCTGCCTATAAAAGACCACAGGAGAAGATTGCCCTTAAAGCAGGGATATAAGTTAACACTAGAGCAGTCCTTCACCCAGGATAATTGTAAGACTTGGAATTTGCAAACCTATCCTCAATATTGTAAAGATAAGGAACAGGCAGCTAGCTACACAGATGCACAGAAGCTGACTCCCACATACCAAGAACCAAACATAATGTCAAGGAAATGGTAGTTGAATTTAATAATATAAAATAAAACAAAAACAAAATTAAATAAGCCTTATCCTATAAAAGCAGACCAAATCACTGACCCAAAGAATATACCAGAAAGAGAAAATCTGAAGGAAAAAAAAGTACACTGACATGGAATTCCAAGAATAGGTAATAAAAAAAATTACAAATCATGGAAAAAATAATTGAAGTTCTAAATAAAAGGGTACAAGAATTTTTTAAATAAATCATTGCATGATAAAGTACAACCCGCTCAATTCTAGATAATAGAAAAGCATGAAAATGGAAAAGAACAGAATGTAAGAAATGGAACAGAGTCATTGAGACTTAAGATATCAAGAAAACCTCCTAGAATATAAAGAAAGCAGAGATAAGATGGAAGGAAAATGAACAAATCATAGAATCATATGGAATAACATCAAACAACCAACATATGTATAATTGGAATTCCAGAAAAAAGAGGGAGGAAAAACAACATTGAGACATTTGTGGGAAAGACTCTACAAGAAAACTTTCCAGGTGTTATGCAAAACAAGAAAATATGCATTCAGTCAACCCCAAATAGATAAGATCCTGAATGGAAAAAACCAAACAAACAAAAGAAAAACAAAAAAACCAACCCCAAATCATCAAGACATCTCCAAATTCAAAGGCAAAGATAGAATATGAGAAGCAGTTCAACAAAAACAAGTGTCATATACAAAGGGGTATCAATTAGATTAAGCTCTGACTTCTAAGTAGAACTATGTGAGCAAGAACACAATGTGCATCTCGCAAGGTGTGGCTCTTCTGGGACTTTACCATGACTCTGCTGCAAGATGCCAAGGCCTGAGTTGGATGGTGGGCCTAGTAGCATCATCCAACCACCACTTCCCCAGCATCTGCTAAAGACTGTAGACCAATACAGGTGCACTCAAACTTTGGCCATTGACAAAATCACTGTCTGCCAGACTAAGGGGTTATTGTTTCACTGCCCAGGAATAGATGGTATACCAATTGACCTATTTTCAGCTAACAGATGCTGCCCTGGATGTGCTCACCAAGTTGTGCCAAGAAATCTGGAGAACAACCACTTGGCCAACTGACTGGAAGAAATCTATGTTTGTTCCCATTCCAAAGAAGGGTGACCCAACAGAGTGTGGAAACTATAGAACGATATCATAGATTTCACATGCAAGCAATATTCTACTGAAGATTATCAAAAAACAACTGGAACAGTCCATTAGCAGAGAACTGCCAGAAGTCCAGGCTGGGTTTAGAAGGGGTCGTGTTACTAGGGATATTGTAGCTGATGTTAGGTGGATCTTAGCTGAAAGCAGGGAATACCAGAAGAATGTCTATCTGTGTTTCAT